TTTTTCCTTTGACTCAAAATTCTAAATTTTTTTGCTATCCGTAAAATATTTTGAATATTTACTTTGAATGTTTACTTTGAATGTTTACTTTGCTATGTTTAAGTTTACTTTACTTTGTTTAAGTTCCATACCTGAGAATTGCTTTTCTATTTCCAATTATCCATTAGATGGCAAAGTCAGCGCTTTGGGTTATGTCCGGGTTCTCTAATAACTACCAGACAATCCTTTTCTGTGGATGCCTCCATCAATTAAATTTCTCGCAAAGCCAGTTCTCTATACACATAAGGCAACAGAGCTCTCTTAGTATTCTCTGGGTGTGTATAGATTTAATTTTGAATAATAATAATAATAAGTAAGGTTTTCTAAACACTTGTTTGCCAGAAAACAGACAGATCTACTGCTTAGTATGGTAGCTTCATTTAATTTCATTTTCAGAGATTCTTAGGGGGAGACATGAAAAGTAAAAGGGTGTGTTTTAATGGGAAAAGACAATAGTAGACAAAAGTTACTTAATAAATTTACTTTTTTTTTCTCAACATCTGTTTAGGTTTTCGTAAAGGAATTCATAGTGTACTTATAGGCCAATGTTTGTGTACTCTTTGTCTAATGATGTGTCTGCTAGTATAAAAACGTTAGAGAAAAAATTCCAAGAATTGGGACCAGGATTGATAAATCTGGAAGATTTTGCCCTATGGAATGTTTGTCAAAAACAATTGGCCAGCCTTAGATTTTTCTTCTGTGTCCCTGTATCCTTTGCCATGTCAAGAAGACTTGCAGACAAGTCTCTTCATATCACTTTAAAATGTGGATAATCACATTACAAAAGCAAAAGGAGAACAAGAAACCATTTCCTTGGACCACTGAGTGTTTGTAGTGCTCCCAAGTGCATTTTCTGTCCCATTCATGAGGTCTTCTGAGCCTCGGTCTCCTCCTTTCTGACCATGGGCATCATCGTCGTTTGATCCTCCCACTTACACAGCAGTTGTGATGTAGCTGAGGGTCTGAGAAGAGAGACGTTGTGCAAATTCAACTCATTAAATCAATTGTGGTTATGATATTCAAAGGGTTTGCTGATATAGCTTGGAAAATATCTCAAGATCAGACTCACACCCTACTTTTTTTCTAATAATTATTTTTAAATCAACTTTATTGTTAGAAGTTATGTATAATAAACTACACAATTCAATGAATGTTGGCAAATGTATACGCCCAATAAACCACCACTACAATCAAGATATAGGGTAATTCTATCACCGCCAAAGTTTCTCCATGCCTCTCTCAGTCTATACCTCTATTTGCCCTGAGCCCCACCAACCAATGATCTCATTTCAACCCTATAGATTAGTTTGTAATTTCTAGAATTTTAGATACACGGAATCATGTACTGTAGATAGCTTTGTTTCTGGGTACTTCCACTCAGGGTAATGCTTTTGATTTATCCATGTTGTTCGTGTATCAGTAGTTGGTTTCTTTTTGTTGCTGGGTAGTATTTGGTTACTTGGATGTACCACATTGTGTTTATCCATTCATTTGCTGATGGGCATGGAGGTTTTCTAAACCCTGTTTTTTTTTTTTTTTTTACCAAATCTTGTTCTTAGTGCCCATCTGCTAATTTTTTCATGTCCTTAAACCTGAATTTCATTCATATTTTGCCATTCACTCTACTACTTGGATATACAGCTTCTCTATACACTACAAGTAAAACCAATATGTAATTAAGAATTTATATAGGACATGTGTATTTAAGTGGAATCATTTATGAGTTTTTAAATATTTTAATTCTTAACGAATTCTTTCCTAAAGGAGATTGCTTCTAATCAAGAAAACATTATCTTCTCCAGAGGTCACTTTTCTCTCTGGGCCATTTTGTCACTTTGATAGCAGCAGTGATGAGGATTTCCGTAGGAATGCATACTGGCATATAACTAGAGCAACACTCTACTGACAAAGCACTTCCTTCGTTCAAAAAAAGCAGTACATGACATTTAGAGGAATTTTAGTTCTATGAGTTGGTAAATGAAATGTGGGATTTTCTGTGTTTCTTCTTTGAAATTTAAGCTGTCTGAGACTTTCGTAACTTTTTTTTTTTAAGTGACAAGCACCTGAACTTGAAGTTGCATTCACTGAGGGAGCTGCAACTCCTCCATTAAAGCAAATTTATCAAGACCAATTTTTCACCTGCCAAACTTAGCATCTCTACTGACTTAGCTTCCTAAATATAATATTAACACCTAGGTACATTTACATTCTTAAGATCTCTTGGGCCTTCTTCATTTTTTGCTTCTCTCTTTCTCTCTCATTTTCTTCCTCCTCCTCTTCCATCTCCATTTACATTTCTCTTCTTTCTCTCTCTCTTTCACTCTAGCCACAAAGATCCACCACGGAAGGATTGAGCACCAAAAGAGAAATCCTTGTTTCAAATCTACTCTGACAATCTTGCATATGAAATTTTGCTTTACTTGTTCAGTGATATTGCTGGAGCAAGTCCTGTATGCTACACCCTGGCAAAGCTCCTAAAACTGGTCCTGGTGGGATTTCTGTTTTAGAAGCAGCCTTAAGATCTTCGTAGCATTGTTCAGTTTGCTTTCCTAAAAGAATTTCAGCCAAGTGTATATCCTTAAAATATTTTGCTAATGTAATGACCACTTCATCAATATAAAGATTATATATATATGTAATACAAACATATGTATGAATACACACACACACACACACATACGTATATCTCTAAACAAATAATTAAGCACCCAAAGGCATCTTCCTATTCAACTTCGCTAGCATTTCCTTCCTCCTAGTCATAGTTGCTTTGACTGCACTGACTGTGTGAGGCTCCTGGGATTCTGTCTCATTCCATCTCATGCTAAACTAATCGCAGTATTCTTTAGCTTAGTCATGATGATATACCAATTAGGCAGTTCTGCTTGTGCTTTCAAATGTAGGCTGGGTCCCTGATGAACCAGTTGGCCAAGTGGGTGGGTGAATGGGGCAGTGAGAGAGGTAAGGAAAAGAGTTATCAATAGGCTGGGGTGGGTTGTCTTTGAGCATTAGTGGAAGAAAATTGCCACTTGTTATTTGGTTTACGACCATATTAACAATAGTTATTATAATAAGGAGAAAAATAAGACTTGGCTAATAGTTAAGGGGCTTGTGAAATCTTTTTGATTTTGGTAAGTGTCGCTGATCTTAAAATTTTAAATACCACTAATGGCATATGATATAATCATTCATTAATTCAGTCTTTAACCAATGTTTAGTGAGCCTATACTGTATGGCCACCACTTGTCAGTCAGTTTGCTGTACTGTGGTGGCTTGCATGTTGCTATGATGCTGGAAGCTACGTCACTGGTATTTGCAATACCAACAGGGTCACCCATGGTGGCAGGTGTCAGTGAAGCTTCCAGACTAAGACAGACTGGGAAGAAAGGCTGGACAATCTACTTCTTAAAATTAGTCAATGTAAACCCTATGGAGCACAGCAGAATATTGTCCAATATGGTGCCGGAAGATGAACCCTTAGTTTGGAAGGCATTCAAAACACACAGTAGCAGCAACAAAGGACGCTAGCACACCGATGATTTTGAAAATGGTGAGAACAGGGCAACATTTTATTCTGTTATACAAGGGGTCACCACGAGTTGGAGCCGATTTGACAGCAACTAACAACAGAGCAACATACCGTGTGAGGAGACTTGTGCTATGTTGGTGACATAGATGAGGCATATTCTTGGCTTCAATATGCCTTCTCGTCAGTCCTTGGCGTTAATTTATTAATTTAACATTCAAAACCATTTTAGTGAGTACCTGTAGGCACATAAGAACCAACAAATATTCTATGCGCACAGATCAATAAGACATTCATTTCCACCCTTGACCTTAGAGTTTTGTGAGGGAGACAGACATGGGAACAAAAAAGATAGTATATTGTGATACATACAAATGGGATTGATACCATGCCATGGGAATTTTAAATTCCCTGTTGACTTGGCATTTCTTTTATACTGGCCCCTGTGGAAAACTCAGGGGGGAAGAAAACTAATTTTGTTACCTGAACCCATTCTATTGTTTGAGTGAGGCTTTTGTTTAGGAGAAAATACACAACTTTTGCTTTTGCAGTTATTTTTGTTTTAAACTACTGCAAAATATGTATTTTGAACTGTAGTTTTAATATTCTTTAAATGGTGTTAATTGTATTTTTAACATCTTTGAAATAATGTTTTCTATTTGAAGGAAAATTTATATTCCGTATTTAGAGAGATGCTGGGAGCAATTGTTTGGAATAAGGTGAAAGCAGGAACATTTTCACAAATGATGAGATATTTTCTTTGACTATGATTCTAAAGTAGGATATGGGAGCTTATAATTGGGAGGGGTCTATCTTTTTTGAAATCCATGATTTCTTCTGCTATCAGTAATCTGGTATTTCATCAGCTGACTATTATATTACTCATAGAGACAGAGCTTTGATTGTTTCTTTGCATCTTTGTTGTGCACAGAGTGGTCTTGTAGAAAGTTAGCAATTAATCATTTTCACAACTGTGGAATTTTAGTTATGGCAATGTGCTCTTCTTGGTAATTGAATTAAATGACAAAGCACCTAACCCATTACTGTGCTCTCTCTCTCTCTTTTTTTCTCTCTTGTAAATACAAATATAATGGGCCTCAATTAAGTAATATGATTCTTTTTATAGGCATTTCCAGGTAAGCAGTTCTATTCGGCATTTTTTAAGTTTCTGCTCTTGGCTTATGGGGAAGGCTTTTGAACAAGGTATTTGTCTAGTTGAGTCTCAAATGGAAGAGAGATTGTCTGGTACATTGTAGACTAGTGTTTGACTGGTCTGATGTCAAGTCTAATGAGAGGGCCAGCCTCACATTTTATGATTGTAACGTAAGTATTCTTTCCGAATTAAAGCAGAAAAATGACCTCCGTTCTTTCTGAATAACATTACCTAGTACTAACTAATCTTACCTTGCCTTCCTGCTCCACAATTTCCCACCTATAGGTTTTGGATGCTGCTTTTGTGGAGTATGTGAAAAGAGTTGTAGAAGACAGGGGGTCAGTGAGATCAGAGCATACCACAAATGAGATAACCTGCATAAAGTGCTTAAAATGGTACCTAGCACGTAAGTGTGCAATAATTGTTTAACATCGTTGTTATTTGCCTTACTCTTCTTTGCTTTTACATGATTGTCTCATAATACGTCAAATTGAACAGTTTAAGTATTTCTTTACCGTTCCCCATAATCATTAGCAAAAAAAACATTTTCACCTTTGAATATATCAAAATGACAAGTGTAAGAAAGATAATGGTATCTCCTCAGATTTTTCTTTTTGTGGTATATCTATACACAAGTGGTACTGAAGCATATTTAGGTCTGTATTCGTTTCTTATGGCTGCTGTAACAAAGTACCGTAAACTTGGCCGCTTAAAATAGCACAAATTTATTATCTTGCAGTTTTGGAGATCAGAAGTCCTAAAATCAAAGTAGCAGTAGGGCTATGTTCCTTCTGGAGGTTGTAGGGGAAAATCTGTTTTCTTGCCTTTTCCAGCTTCTAGAAGCTTCCCACATTCCTTGGCTCATGGCCATTTTCCATATTCAAAGCTGGCAATTGCATCACTCTGACCTCTGCTTTCCTCATCACGTCTCCTTCTCTGACTCTCCTGCCTCCCTCTTTTAAGGACCATTGTAATTATATTGTTCCCCCCACCCACTAATCCAGGATAGTCTCCTCATTTCAAAATTCTAATTTAATTAATTTAAAAGTCCCTTTCACAGGTTCTTGGGATTAGGACGTGGATATATTTAGTGGGCCATTATTGTGCCTGCCACAAGTCCAGTGAAAATCATTATTATTACTTGTTATGTAGATTCACAGAACTTTAGATCTAACAAATACATTAGAAGTCATTCATTTCACAGATGTGGAAACTAAAACATGATAGAGAATACTACCTGGGACCAAAACCTAGCTACTGAGTCCTGATCAGATGATTTTTTCCATTGCTTTTATGTAGCCATCTCTGAAAACTGTGTCTATTAGCTAAGTAATTGGTTTTTGATTAAGAGACCACATTACAAAATTCCAAATAGTAGTTTAAAACTGAATTTGAGGTCACTTTGAAATCTGAAGGCAGTCTACCCTCTTAGACTTCATTTTTGACACACTTAACAGAAGGGTTGGATACTTAAAAATAAATTAGTTCAGTGATGTTTTTTAAAAAGGGAAAAATACCTTAGGACTCTCCCAAGAAACCTATAAAATTTATAACTGTGGCTCCAGTTGAAACTATGGAGTCCAGAGTTCTTCCTTATCAAAAGGAAAATATGATCTTTGTGAATACTTCTCATTCAGACCACAGTTAAGAAACTAATATACTAAAAAGGTAGATAGTTGATTGTTATGAACAGAGGGCAGGATTAGGGCTGTGTCCTTGCTTGTTTTGATAGACTGTTTAATGGGGTGTTGAAAAAACTTGTACCATTTAATTTCCTGCATTTCATCTGAGTAGTGAGCCAGGATGCTATATAGTCAATTAGAACAGCATGTTCTTATGTACAATATATGTAGTTTCCATGGAGCTCACCCAAGGATAAATTATAACCTGGCCGGCTGCCTGCCTCTATTTCCTTTCTCTGTTTTTACTGTTTTTGTAGTTTGAATTTTTATATTGTAAAAAGGGTACATTTTGGTCATTTTGTTGTTGTTTTATTTTCTTGGCTGAAATTTCCTAAGATGGCCTGAAACTTTGATCTTGTCATTCCTATTCACTAGACATTCCTGCGTGACATAATGGAATCAGCAAGGGTTTGTTGAGCATCTCCTGTGTTCCTAGAACCATGTCGTGGATACCAAGATGAATTAGACTCAGCCTTTTATAGTGGGAAAGCCATCGACTTTAGATTCAATTTTAGCTCTTATCTCATGTCTAGCCCTTAGTAAAACTGAGACTCTGGGCAAATTCTTAATCCTTTTGAGCCTATTTCTTCCCTTTCTAAAGTGGGAAAATGAGACCCACTTTGTAGGGGTATTATAAAGATTGGATTGAGGTAATATATGTGAAAGCACCAAATACAGTGCCTGGTACAGAGCAGGTGTTTCATAAATGTTAGTTTCCTTCTTCAAAGAGCTCACGGTGTAGCGGGAAAGCTGAGCTATCTATAAATAACTCTAGCACAAAGCAAAAGTGATAAGTGGCATGAGAGAGGTACAGATAAGGAGCTGTTGGAGTTCTAAGATGAAATCTAGTTATAGGGATCAGAGAGGGCTTCTTGGAGCATTTTCATGACATTTTAGCTGGCCCTTAAAAAGGGAATAGGATTTAGACATGTAGAGATAAGGGCCCTGTGATTTATGCTCCTGTTCCCTGGTTGATCTCCCCTCTAGCCCCTCCTATATCATATTTTGTGGATTGTCCAATATTTGGGTTTTCCAGTTCTGCCCATGTTCATGTATCATCAAGGGTTAATCTCCTTTCCTGCAAGAGCAGTTTGGGTTAATAATTCTGCACTTCATATGTAATGTAAATAGAATAACTTTATTTATTTTTAAAAAGCAAGTCATTTTTCCCCCCAATATAACTTCTTATAGGGAGATGTGTCCAATTAGAGCCGTCTCATATGGTTGGTTTGCAGGGGATCTAGGCTAGTTTTTAAGGAAGCTCTTGGTGAGAATTATTCATGGCTCATGAAATCAAGATTTTCAGAGAAACAAGCGATCGTCAGATTTTTTATTTTTCTTTTAGACTGTGTAGTCCTGGAAATCCTCTATCTCCAAAAGTTGTCCAGCTGTGGCTGGATCCACCTGTGTGACTCGGCATCAGAGCCCCTCTTAATAGCAGTCTGACCTCCATTGACCTCTACAGCTCGCTGAAGACCTGATTTAGAAAATTGCTTCATTTCGCACAGCCTGCTGAGCAGCTATTTGGAGGTACTGCCTTCTAGTGACTTACAGCTTGAACTAGATTGAAAGTCCCAAATGTGGCATTTCTTCTGATTTACCTCCAAAATACAACCTTTACCAAATCCCGATTAAGATACTTCTCATACTTCCCATTCATGCTAATCCTATTGTCTAAGCCAAAGGTTGGAATATATAGTATAATGTAGAATCTGATTTAGAGACCTAATGTCTTGAATGTGTGTGTGTGTGTGTGTGTATACTGTGTCTATAAAATCTGGTTTGTTTTACCTATGTATGTTACTATTCAGTGGATCTTTTTTTCCCATTTGGGTCTCTCTCTTTTTTTTTTTTTTTAATTTTAGTCTCCTCTAAATTGTAGCACTGAACTTTTGACTCCAGGATAGATAGATCTGATCAGAGTATAAGATATTAAGAGTTCTTAATAATTATTAATAGCTGTTAATAATTTAAGAGGGTATGTTTTGATCTGGAGGGATGTTCAGATAAGTGGTTGCATAGTTCTTTATTCCTGGTTCATAATAAAACACACCCAGGGGGCTCTTACTATTTTTGGTTTAGGATCAAACAATCCTTTGCTGACCATGTCTTGGTCCTCTGTCTTAAAGAGGGATCCTTGGCCAGGGATCCTTCCGTCTTAAAGAGAATTTTGTCTCTGAGATTTTGGTGATGAGGATTCGGAGGAGCAGCATCTGCCTTCGCAGGATGGAGCCTGTGGCATTATTTTGTTCCTGCTTCTGCATTTGGTCTCCAAGTAGAGGTTTGTGAGGGGAGAAGAAAGAGACCTGAGCCTTGCTCCTCTGATCAGGTGTTGTTCATCTGAGTGCGCAGATGAATGACACATGGGTTATAGAGTACAGGGTTTTCCCCCGGCAAACTGGACTGCTCTCAGCAACAGGTTGAAGTTTTTTGCTTTAGGCTAACTCTCTAGAAAATAACAGTAAAATTCAACCAAAGATTGGTGCTTTGTGAAATTTTAGAACCCACTCGATGTCTTTTGGAAATGATGGAAATTGGGACTTGATGAGAGTATATGTGAGTACATAAAACAAGGGTTTGCTATATGCGGGGTAGACGGGCTGGGATCTGGAACGGTTTTTTTTTATCCTGTTATTCTCATTTGGCTGTCGCTTCACCCTGTTTTGAGCTCTATCTGCTTTCTTTAAATATATGGGTTTGGGTGGTACTGAGTATTTTGTGCAACTTGCTGTTGGTAGTACCCTACATTTGACTACATAATTTATTGATTACACTTTTCAGGGAATGATGATATTCTTACTGTGACTCTAGAAAGGCATTCACAAATGAGAACAGAACTCTGCTCTTAGTATTTGTGAATGAACTTGAGCAATATGACTGTTTTAAGAACTAATTCTAAAGCATGGATCTGAGGGCATCACAGTCTTTTGTTATCTTGGTTTTGGGATGTGCTGCTTTATTGACATGGATCGGTTTCAAACTCTAGATCACTGTTGGCACTCTGACTTGAGGCAAATACACAGGAGCTTTGTATCTAATGCAGCAAAAATTTACTTTGAGACGGTATTCTGGGCCCCCAACCAAAATTCTCATATTTCTTTTCCTTTTTCAGTTTTAACCAGATATACAAATAGGACTTGACTGTACTTTGGTCTCGGCATAATGTGGATCCCAAGGGTGAGGAAGCAGGAGACCTCAGTGTGCTACATATTTTTCTGGACTGGAGGAAATTATAGTCTACAGCAGTTTTCCCAAAGAGACTCACGGGAAGTTAATAGTTGTTAATTGAAAAAAGGGATCATGGTTAAAATACATTTTTTGAAAGGCTGAATTAAAGTAAAATTGGTTTCTTTCTGGTGGTATTTTCCAGAGCCTACAATGTGCTAATGTTATAGTGAATTTCCAAGAAGGTGATGCATGGATTTTCCCACATTTTTGAACACAAAGCCCCCCTTCCCTTCTACCTGCTTTATTTATTTATTTTTGCCATATACTAATTGGATTTGTGTTCCACAGAACAGAATTTGGACAGTGCTATTTAGAGGATCTAGAAATCAGTATTTTTGAAATTTTCTATTAAAATTCAATAACATATCTCTTGGGTCTGGGCTTCTAAGAGTCTAGATAAGTGCTTTTAAAACTTTAATGTGCATGCAAATTTCCTGGATAGCTTGTTAAAATGCAG